TATTTTATTTTTTGATTTATTTTGGAGTAGTTTTTCGTAAGGCAAAAATTACGTGCTCACAAATATAACAAAAGATTTGCTTCGCAAACAAAACCAAAGAAGCATTAATGCAAAAAGAAAAATGAGGGACAAGGAGGATCCAATCCAGTCTTTGAAATTGGCATTTCCTGCTGATTTCATGATTCACATTAACAGAAGCGGATACTTTCCCCGTAAATAAGAGCTTGTTCCTTTATTTGCATCACCAAGTCACAAGGAGAAATAAAATATCTGAGAACTACAAGTAAAGAGTATGAGTGGCATTACAGTAAGGGTGTCTTTACATTTTTTTTTTTTTTGTGTGTGTGAATAAAATTTTATTAATCACCATAGTATCCTTACGAAACTATAGCTATGCCAACACAGCCTGCCATCAAGGAAAACAGATACACAGATTACTACTACCTCAAGGGCTACATAACTAGAACGCAAGGCTTTGCATTACATTCCCGATTCTAGGAGAAGCTCTAACACTACATACAAATGCAATTTCCCTAGCAATGAATTCCCAATCTCTGTCTTTCTTCTCAAAGACTCTTTAAGTTTTTTTTCATTCCACAAACTGTGAAATGTGAAAGAAAAAGAAACATTCTGTGTGTAGTGTTTCCTTTGAATCACACACATTTGTCTTGATAAGTGAATTTCTCTCTATTATAGTGATACTGTTTTGCTCATTCCCTTATATGTTTCCCTAATTTGAGAAGGGATTGCAGACTCAGGCCAAATAACATCGAATGACTGGCATCCACAAAGCCTAGTTTCTCAGAAGCCTAGCGTGTGTGTATATATAGCTACTCCAGGTATAATTGCATCCCCTGGAAACATACAGCTATATCACAGTAACCAATGATGTCTATGAAAAGCTTATTTTTTTGTTTTACCTTTTCTTTCTTGTCATTTCTCAAGGATTCTCGTCAAACAGAGTTTTATGAAACAAAAGCATGTTGAGTTTGCCACCAATAGGTTGAATTGCTAGTGATCCAGACATTAATACACAAAGCTGGGTTGTTTATGGAATCCAATGCTAACATCATGTCTGAAACACGTACTCCCTTTGTTCCCCAAATGTTGAAGAACATTTGTCATTCAAAGCCATATTACACATAAAAATGTATTCAAAGCCATTTTAAGCAGAGCTCTAGAGCATAAGTAAAGGCTTCTGATGATCCAACAATTGGTTAAAAACTCAATTTAACTAGTAGCTAGTTCAAGTGTGCTAGTTTCTGTGAGTTAAACTTCATATCTTGCATCACAATATAGGTTGATTTCCCTAACCCAAGAAATACAGTTATACATACTTTACCTTATCAAAAGAAAATTGTACTTGTATACATTATAAGAATCACGAACCACATCAACAAGTGAGACCACATAAACACAGCTTCCTTCATTCAGTAACTCACTAATACATTATCTAACACAAAGCAAGAACCAGCAGGATCTCAGAATCACTGGATCATCTTTTCATGTTTTGTTCTTTTGCCACACACAATAAGTTGAAACTATCTAAACGTATAACACAGACAAGCAGTCCAAATAGGTTGCATAATAACATCCAAGCTCCAAACCCTTCCCACCACGGAGCAAAAGACATACAAGTAGCACTCACAGTAGCTATATTACATGAAAAATTCAATCTTTCAATCACCCTATACTTTAAGCAGTTGCAACTTGTTAGAAAATGCAATAGCAATCCAATCACGTTGCGCAGCAGACCACTGAATTTGATTAATCTCAGCTCCCGCAGAGTACATTGACATGGGATCAATCCCATTAGGCCCAGCAACAGTAGGCAACTCCCAAATGAGGGCCTGCCCATCATCCCCAGCTGAACAAATATGTCTACAACTCTGTGGAGCCCACGCAATCGCATTCACACTCGCCTGATGCCTTTCTAACTCCGCCACAGGCATCGCTGGCGACCTAATATCTAATATTACAATCTTGTTACTATCCATTAATATAGTAGCCATGTATCTCAAATCTTGCTTGTTCCAAGCCAACCTCAATAACGGAGTATCTGGTTGTGGACTCTCATAAATAATTGTAGAATGTTCTTTATCCCTCAAATCAAAAATCCTAACTGACCCATCAGCAGAAACTGATGCAAAAACTCCATCTTCACCCCAAGCTATATCGTAAACCTCTTTATCATGGGCTATCAATTGGGTTTCGACAACCCCTTTTTCAACATCCCAAATAGTACAAGTAGTATCAATACTGGAAGTACCAATTCTTCTGGGCTCAACTTCATTCCAATCAAAAGAGGTTAAAGGGGCACAGTATTCACTAGTTTTACTGTTGTTGAGAGTGAAAAGTGGTTCAATAGAACTTTCTCGAACTTCCCAGAGACGGAGGTAATCACCGGAAGAGGCGAGAATGTCGTTGGATTTAAGGGAAGCAGAAGGATTCGGATGGAACATGAGTTTAGTAGGTGGGTATGGGTGATCGAAGGAGAGATTCGGAATTGGGTTTAGGGTTAGGGTTTCTTCGTCGAAGGAGAGAATGTCGACCCGGTTGTTGAATTCTTCGATAAAACTTCCGACGGCGATGCGACGGCGGCGGTTGTGGAGGGGAGAAGTGAAGGAGGAAAAGGCCATAGCGTAGATGGGGTAGGAGGAGTCATAGGTGACGGAGTTTTCAGATCGGAGGCGGGATTCTTGACTTGAATTTTCCATGTTTGGTGGGATGAATTAGGGAAATTATGTGTGTATGCGTTTGGTAGTGAAATGGATGTCACTTGTGCTTACATTTGATTGCTAGAACGAAGTGTTTTTTGACCGGCAGTTCGCTCTTGAGAAAATTGTGATGATATGACTCCCCTCACCCTGCCTTTGGTTTTCATACTCCTATGTTATTGTATACGGGTGAGTAGGATTTGACTTGTCGGGTGTTTTCTGTAAGACCAAGACGCAGTCATGTTTGGGGGCCATAATTTGGACAATTTGATCTGTAAACTTTAGTTTTTGTTTGGACCTCAGAAGCACTAAAGTTTAATTATACTAGTATTAGATTTTGAAAGTCCAAGACATAAGAACCTTGAAGATTCAATATTGATGACTTTTCTTAGTTTTAGGGTGTGTTTGGTATAAAGAAAAATATTTTCCAATTTTTCTATTTTGGTTGGCTTAAATGTTTTAAAAGATATTTTCCTCATGAATTTATTTTCCTCCAATTTGAGAAAAATATTTTCCCTATCAAAAGAAAAAGAAGGGAACATATTTTCCAAAACTCTTCNGGGGGGATTTGGAGAAGGGGTGAGAAGAGTAGCATACAAATTATTTTTCTAACAAAAAATTTCTATTCTTTAACCAAACACTAGAAAATATTTTTCGGAAAAAAAAAAATTCATTCACCAGCAAACCAGGGAAAATAAGTTATGCAACCACTCATTTTTCAAGAAAATATTTTCTAGAAAAATATTTTCCTACCAAACACACCCTTGTTCTAGCAATTGTATAAATGTTGGTCTCACTATTACTGATTATGTACCAATTATGACTCAATGGTTAATTAACGTTTTGATAGTATTGGTCTGAAATGAAACTAACTTTTTTCTTTTTTGGAAAAGATTGTTTTATCATGTATTATTCAAATCAAATGCGAGTATATCATCAATGAGGCACAAAGGGGTAGTATCTCACTCCATGGAATCAAATATAGAAACATATGCTCTAGCAAGACCGCGAGCAACTTGATTCGTTGATTTCTTAACAGATGACAAAAAAATGAGAACTCTTCGAGAAGAGATATATAATCAAAAACTAAAGTATCAAAATAATAAAAATTCAGCAAATTTCCTTCTAGAGCACTTCATGAGTAGATTATCAATTTCAATAATAAATGTCGTTGCACTGATGTGATGCCCACCACGGAGGGTGGGCTGATGATGGCGGGTCTAAAAGGACTCACAGACTTTTAGGCTGATAAGTGTAAACACGTGATTTTTGCCCTATATGAGAATTACCCCCGAAAAATTTCAAAAATAAAATAATTTTTTAATTGTTTGCAATTGTTGTGAATTTTGTGTTATTTTTCTTATATTGTTTGCATTTTGTCTATGCATGTTTATTTGCTAAATTAATAAAAAAATACAAAAATATGTCGCATTTGCATTTGATATTTAATATAGTTTGTTTTACAAAATGAAAAAATCATAAAAATAATGTACGTTGCATTTTTAGCATTTAATGTTCAAATTGTGTGATTTTATCGTTAATCGCTATTTAATTGTGTGTTAATTGTTATTAAGAGTTAATTAGTATCTCCAGATAATTTTGGGTTTTATCATTTAATCTTAGCATTTTAGCTTTATTATTTAGGAAGTTGAATAAAAAAAAAAGAACAAAAATAGAAGAAGACCGGATTGGGCTTTTTCTTCAATTTTAAACCACAAGCCCAAAGAGTTTTCCCCATGACCCGGTCTATTTCAACTCGGGTCGACCCGATCCGCCCCATAACCCCAAATGACCTAACCCCTCCTATCTTCACTTCATTTTTCCTAAACCTAAACCTAAAAACCATCCCCCCCCCTCTTTCTCTTCACCCTCACCATGAACAACCCCTCCAAGCGTCCATGGCTGCTTCCTCACAGCTCCTTCACCGTCTACATCGTCCTCAACACACACACGCACACACACGCCATTAGCCTCACTCATCGCGCCTGGTCAGTTGCTTCCTCAAATCGTCGAAAATGTCGTTCAAGAGGTTCGTGGAGATCGAAAGAGTCACCCTTGTCAACTACGGGGAGGACTATGGGAAGCTCGTTGTTATCGTCGATGTCATTAACCAAAAATCCTTGTGAACCAAGAGAAGAGGAAGCAGTCGTTTCCCTTGGCTAGCTTCAGCAACCAACGAGCTTCTCCTTCACTCCTTGAACCACCCCAGACCACCATCACCCAGCCTCTTGCTTTGTCGAGCTCCAGCCATAGACGTTGGGGTTGCTTCATCTTCTCATCCCAAACGACCAGCAACTCGACCATATTCACGACGCACGACCATGGCTGCCCGCGTTGCTGCTGCTGCTTCATCCAGTTTCTGCAGCGTCGCCACTACTACTCCTGCTACGTCCAGCCATGGACGAGCTGCAGCGTCGCTTCTGCTGCCTTCTGCTACGTCCAGCCATGGACGACTACCAAAGCTTCCCTCCGTCGAGCATGTTCAGCAGTAGCAGCTGCTACTGCTTCACCGCCTCCTCGCCGCCACTGCTTCGTCTTCAAATGACACCAAACGACCATCTTCTTCGATCGTCCGTTCGTGGTCGTCTTCGGCGTTAAGTTATTTTGGTGCGATAATTGTTTCCGGGCAGATTTGTTTTCGTTCGAGTTCATCGTCGTTCCGATCCGGTTAGTTGGTTTAACCAATTCGTGTTTATCGTTTTTTTTATTTTCTTCAGTTTGTTTCATTTTTCTTGTTTATTTTTAGGTAGAAATTGTTAGTTTAATTATAATGTTGTTAGATTTAAGTTGAAGTTCAATTAATTATTTCTTTAGTTTGTTTTTATTAATTTAAAAGGATTTAGTTTTAATATAGAGTGTTAGTTTAATCGCTTGAATCCGTTTTTTGTTGTTTAATTTAGATTTAATTCGTGTTCATTTTTTTTTGTTTGAAGTTCGTTTTTAATCCAGTGATTTAATGTGAGTTTATGTTTTGGTTTCTAATTTTTTGATTTAGTTTGAATCATGCATCTTTGTTGTGATGTTGTTGGATTTAATTTGAAGATCAATTGATTATTTGAGTTTAGTGATTTGAATCTGTTTATTTGTTTTGTTTAAGTTTAATTTGAATTTGAGCTCAATGATTTGAATATACTTGTTTGTTATTGTTGTTGAATCTGAAAATAGGTTTGTTGTTAAAAAATATTGTTCAGTCAAAATAATTCCAGTTTTCCTTGTTGTTCATCATTTAGTTTAAGTTTGTTCATAAAATTTAATTAGGAATTGGTTATAGCTTCTGTATTTTGGTTAGAATTGACTAGGTGAATTGGTTATAGCTGACGGGGTTAGAATGGTCAATTGTAGTATTTTCAGGGGTAAAATGGTAATTTTAGTAATTTCAGAGGGGTATTTTTGGAATTGAAAATCTAAACAATTTTTTATTTTGAGTGCTCTGTCCATTAAGATTAAATAATATTTAAATAATATTAAAATAATACATGGTGGGGAACAAGACATATGGTAGTGGGATTAAAAGGGGGATATGTGGAAGATAGTGAGATTTAATTTAAATAAGGAGAGTTTGGCTATAAATAGAGGGGGCTGGAGACAAATAAAAGGGGCTGGAGATTGAAGAGAGATGGAATTCCGAAAATATTAAGACTTCCAAAAAATAAAAAATAAAAAAAATATTCTGGAAATTTAAAGAGAGAGTAGTATACACCTGATATACAATCTAAATATTTTGATATACTGATTCAGAAATTAAGGGTTAAACATTAACTAGTCTTTCAATCTGAAAAGATTCTCTTTGCTTCTGCCCGTTAATTGTTGTTGGCGTCTCGGGATTTTCGTTTGATTTGTTCCTTGAGTTTGGTTGGTTGTTTGCCACTGCTTCACTGGTTTGCTGGATTTTTATCTTGATTTTAAAATCTGTCACTGGTTTCTCGTTGCTGATTGTTACTGGTTGCTGGGTGTCGCTGTTGTTGTATGCTACTGCATTTCTGCTGATCTTCCTTTTCTTTTACTTCCAATATCAGGTACACAACTGATACGCTGATTACTGTAAACTGAAACATAAAGCATGAATATGAAATGAAGAGTTGAAGTTCTGAATTTATCTTAATTATATTCTGAATTTTATTTGTATATATACATTATTTAGCTTACTCTAATCAGAATCATGTAGTTGTTTAATATATATAATGGAACATCTGACGGTAGCTTAGCGGACGAACTATCTATGTATTGCCTAAAAATAAATAAATGGTGTAGTAACTGTCTAGTTAATTCGTTATTGTTGGACGATTATCATGTCTCAAAAAGCATGTTAGCTGATTTGAACTATTTTTAAACATTCAACAGTTAGTTCATTAAACGAATAGATCATTTCGGAACTTGTAGGAATATTGTTTAGCTAAATACTATTGGTTAATTTCAGCATGTAAAACGGTTTAGGATTAAAATTAGATTGCCAAGTTTTTTTTTAATTCGACAAACTGTGAGCATGCCTAGTATAATGTAATTAGGTAGTAACATGTGAATGAGATGTCCCGGGTCCAGTTTGTACCATACACATTGGGTCTGGGCCCGCATTGGCAACGGACTGCCCTGCTTGCATCATTTTTAGATTTTACGAATCATATTCGGAACCCAACTATAACAACTCGTAAGCATGTAAATAAATTAGGACCTTTTCTCTTTCATTTTGTAGAGACAAAGTTAATAGAAAAAATGTAGGCACTTTAGGATTATCCTGTTAAAATAAATGAGATGAGCCTCACCCAATAAAACGTATAAGTTGCAGGGCCCTTAATAAAAGGTTAATAATTGTATAGACTTCGGGATCGGTCGTTTAGCAAATTTCACGACCTTACCCAAAAATAATGATACGCTAGTCGCTTTAGGCGCGCCTTTAACAATTTATTTTCTTAAACTCGGGTGCACATTTATGTGACCCAAATCCAAATCTCAACAGAGTCGAAATATGTCGATAACCACGGGTACATTGATGTGACGTGGTTCGAGATATATTTTCACGATGTTGCAATTCTCGATAAATATAATAATAATGATAAAAGCGGTTAAAAATCAAAATTCGCACATATGTTTAACATGTATTATATCAGATAATCAAGCCGAATATAACAGTTGAGCGACCGTGCTAGAACCACGGAACTCGGGAATGCCTAACACCTTCTCCCGGGTTAACAGAATTCCTTATCCGGATTTCTGGTGCGCA